TTATGTATGAGAAATAAGAACTTGATTCATGAGACAAAAGAGATTATGTATGAAGAATGTCGGCGTGGAGAGGAACCGCATCAATTGAAGTGATGAAAGTACTTCACTTCAAGAGCAAAAGAGGGCCAGGGAATGCAAATAAGAACTAAGCACGTATACATACATACATATATACATACATACACATACATACATACACATACACACACACACATACATGCATACATACACATACATATACATACATACATGCACACACATACATACATGCATATCCAAACAAACACACGTATATACATACACACATGCGTGCGGTCACCTGTAATAAAAAGGGCGGAGAGAAAATTCATGTTGAGATAAAATATAAATCTATTAAACAGTGGCTCGCCCTGTAATGCAGCCGAGAGTCACTAATAGTGGTCACGGGACACGCAATGGGATGGAAGAAAGATTATTTTATTAATTTTCATTTAACCGCATTTATTTTGATAGATGAAAAGGGTATAAAAGGGAATGAATAACTTAGTGTAGGATATATAATGAAATATCTTGCTTCTTCAAATTATTCATTCTCACCTAAACCTTTTCTGCAAGAACAGTTGAAAGTTTTATATACATATATACATACATACACATACATATACATACATATACACACATATACATCTATGTATGTATGTATGTATCTATCTATCCATCTGTCTATTCTCTTGGTCTGAGGGATTGGCTAGGAGGAGGAAGGGGGGGGGCGAAGGCATAAAGTTTGATAACAGTACGAAAAATGAATTGATTAATATACAACGGATATCGCAAAAATCCCCCGTCTTAGGAGAAACTTCGTTGCAGAAGGGGAATGGATTTTGCAATTTCAACAGGAGCTAACTGGTCGCAGTGCAAAACAACCTTGATTATTCAGATTCCACAGTTTTGTTTTCGATTGCCCTTCCATTGCATAACAGGTGTACAAATAAAGTTTCATTACCTGAAGACCTATATTCTGAAGCACTATTTGGAAACCACTTGCAACCCAGGGGCAATATGTGAACGCGAGGGGCCAGGGATGGGAAGAAACTTTTTTCCATTACGTATGCTGGATATATTTCGGGTATGGTGCGCCGTGTTTCGTTTCTAAATCATCATCATCTGCCTAATGCCGTATTTTTAAAGTAAACTAATTATATCCTAATTATCTCTTCAGATCGCCGCTGATTCATGCATATACAAATAAAAATATAACTACCAACATTCTTTTAAATCTATTTGTTGATATAAAAAAATCATAAAAACGGAAGCGAGGGTTTACTCTACTATTTCTTAGTGATTTTTAGTTGTGACGAGACGCTTTCCGTGGAGTTGAGAGTGACTGCTGTTACACCAAGTATCAGCATCCAGGATCTACATTTAAAAGCAGGATGTTGTGCTTCTTGAGCTCGTCATACACTGAACACTCAATGTTTAATGTTTGAAATAAATGCGCTAGACATCAAAGTTTATATAGCATTATGGTAAAGTACTGTCAGAGGCAGGGCTTCCATGGTGGCACGGGCGGTACCCATCCCCCTGCGATCTGTTTGGCCACCCCGAGTGCCCCCCCCCTCCCCCAATGATCATTGACTCGTCGTAATGTCAATCTTTGCGGAAAGGTCTTTTCTTACGCTGCACGAAACATAAAACGGAAAACTGCACAGAACAATGAATTTTCTATGGCACAGACTCAGCATAACTGCTGATTCAGAGTATTGTTTCAGTGTGAAAATTTAAGTGGTGCTTAAAACTGATAATTGTACACTGCATTCATGTTTACTGTACAAAGCTGAGCACTACTAATGTATACTGAAGTATAAGATATTGTTGCTGTTCTAAATTTCATTGTGATGATTGTGCTTAGTCTTATTAAAACTGATAACTGCACAGAACTCTTCAGATTTTTATTATATTTTCAAAAATAATTTTTTATATCTTTATTATATATTTTATTATTACATAATATTGGTGTTAAATTAAAAAAAATAAGTGGTGCTTAGTTAAAACGAATTACTACACAGAACACAGCTATGTTCACTGTACAGACTAGAAGCACCAACTTCTGACTACTGTATAGCGTAATAATCTGTGTGTTAGCCTACCACTCGTTTAAAGTACCCCCAGCAGATTAAATGTGGCCAAGGAAAGCAAGATGAAAATATAACAATGCGCAATTGTACAAAATAAATATTGAAATAAGCAGCCTTAAGTTTTGTTACACTGTTGTGATATAGGGGATTCATGTCAGTATTCTAGTGGGAGAGGGTGGGGTAAGTTGAGAGGGTATAGGAGGAAGGGGGTGGAGGGACTTGAGGAGGAGGATGGATATCTACAAATACTTTAAATGTAGGAGGAGTATGAACAGAAGGATTGGGGGTGGGTGAGGGAGCAGTGCTTTCCCTTAGGTCATGTCTAGGAAGTTTTGGATGTCTTCAAGGGTTTCTGGAGGGGAGTCGAATGAAGAGGACTGAGAATGAATGAATGAATGAAAATTCATATACTTCGGCCCGTGGAATCGCTCTGCCGGAAAGGACGGAGATGAATCGTCCGGGATTCGCTGGCAACGACGCCTTCCACTTTTTCGTCCCGTTTTGCTTGATGTTCAGCGAAAAGGGGTTTGGAATACATGTTTGAAATCCTCTCAGCTAGCATTCGTTGAGACTTGAGGATCATAAATCGCGCTTTGTAAGACATTTGATTCTTAAATCTCCAAAAAAAAATCTGCTGAATTCCTACGCTAACCCCGCAGGCAAAAGGAAAATATCAAAGAATATCTTATATTTATTAAAACCAGAACAAAACGCCCCTTTTTCGGGACGGAATAAACTCGATAATTATTCAACGATTTCTAAAATATCCAGTTCAAAAAGTAACAATTAGGCAACACGTATACACTGTATTTTTCCCTTTAATTTGGGAAAAGAAGGGTTTTCCTTAATTTTCAAGACGGACAAGACATTGAGAGCAAGGCAGGGACCGCAAAAAAACAAAAACAAAAAAAGCAAACAAACTCTATCAAGTGTGGGATTCCAGTAAGAAATAAATGTCTGCACATATCCTTCGTTCCTACTCATTCATGATAAACTGTCCTGCGTATAGCCTCGCAAACACCTGGCAATCCACAATAATAATAAATAATTAATAGAAAAAAACGAAATTAATGAACCAATCAATTCAGTCAACAACCATTTGCCATCCATCAGTGCATCGAACAATTAACAGTCACCTCATCAACCGACCTACCAAGTCGTCTCACCCATCATCGACCCACAAAACCCGCGGGCGAAGGGCAATCCATCGCGGACCTGGAACCCGCCCGCGCGACCGCCAATCCACTCGCCGCCAATCCACTCGCCCGTCAATCCATTCGACCGCCAATCTACTCGCCCACCAATCCTCAATCCACTCGCCAATCAATCCACTCGCCCGTCCAAATCCACTTCCATCCTCAATCCACTCATCCGTCCATCTCATCTCTCCACTCGCTCGAACTCGATCCACTCGAGACCGATATCAATCCCCGCGGCCGGATGACAACTCGCGACTTAATACCGCCGCCAAACGCACACAAAGTGGCATCCGGAGCGCGCAAAGTTTGAAATTAATTTGGCAGCCAATTATGTGGCTTCTCTGGGGGGGGGGTATATAGAGGGGGCTCTTTGGCGGGTCTCTCTCGGGGGTGGGTAGGGTGGGGGATCTCTGTGGGGGGTCTCTCTCGGGGGTGGGGTAGGGTGGGGGATCTCTGTGGGGGGTCTCTCTCGGGGGTGGGGTGGGGGGTCTCTGGGGGGGGTCTCTCTCGGGGTGGGGTGGGGGGTCCTCTGGGGGGGGGGTCTCTGGAGGGGGGCCTCTCAGGGGTGGGGTGGGGGGTCTCCCGGGGGTTGGGTGAGGGGTCTCTGGAGGGGGGGCCTCTCAGGGGTGGGTGGGGGGGCCTCTCGGGGGGTGTCTGCCTGTCTCTCTCTCATTCTTGCCCCTCAGAGGGAGGGAGTGGGTGAAGAGGAGGGTATGGGAAAGAGGGAAAGGAGAGGGTATGGGAAAGGGAGGGAGAGGGCATGGGAAAGAGGGGAAGGCGAGGTATGAGAGAGGGAGGGAGAGGAGAAGGGAGGGAGTAAAGGCGAAAGGGAGACAAAAAGATACAGAATGGAGAGGAAGGGAGGAAGGGACAAGGTTAGAACAAGTACGGGAGATGGGGAAGAGGGGGAGGAAAAAGTGTGAAAGACAGAAAAGGGAAAATATGGGAAGAGAAAAGGAGAGCAGGGGATAGAAGGATAAGGACGGAGAAGGGAAGAGAAAAGGAGAGCAGGGGATAGAAGGAGAAGAAATGAGAAGGGAAGAGAAAAGGAGAGCAGGGAGAAGGACAGGAGAAGGAGCACAGGGAATAGAAGGAGAAGCAGGGAATAGAAGGAGAAGAAATGAGAAGGGAAGAGAAAAGGAGAGCAGGCAGGGAGAAGGACAGGGAATAGCAGCACAGCAGGCACACAGGGAATAGAAGGAGAAGAAATGAGAAGGGAAGAGAAAAGGAGAACAGGGAATAAAAGAAGGAAAGAGAAGAGGAAGGGCAAGCGAAGGGTAAGGGAACGAAAGGGAAGGGAAGGTGAAGAGAAAATGAGAAGAAAAATGAGAAGCAGGGAGCACGAGAGGGCAGAGGAGAGGGATAACTGCTTTCGAAAGCGTGCGTTTAAAAGGACGAGAGAGGCGACAGAAGGAGACTAAAAGTACGTAGAAAAGACTAGAAAGTTTCGCAGCAAAGACGCCAGTCGAAGAGTTCGTTGCGCGAACTGAAAGCACATCTGACCAACGCAAAAGACGCAACACGAGTGCCTCCCCCTGGCGCGCACTTCCGTGGGTCGTGGCACCTACCGCCTCGCCTCGCCTGTGCCACCGCCCTTGCGACCTCAGTTCTGGTGGGACCTGACCCCATGGCGATCGTCGGCGTAGAATGCGAAAGCCCGGTAGTCGGGGAGGGGCGTGGTGGGCGAGGGCGTGGGGGTAGGCGAGGGTGTGGGGGTGGAGGTGGGCGTGATGGCTATGGGGGTCCTCTTCCTGGGCGAGTTGTACTCCTGGTAGAGCGAGCGCGGCGGAGACTCGTAGTCGTCGACGAACTTCTTCGTGACCGTCTTGGAGGTGGTGCGACGGACGCAGTAAATGCACGCCAGCAGCACCATCAGGTACATCGCCGACAGGAAGCTCAGGATGATGTAGAACGTGCGCGGGGGAACGCAGTCGTCGAACAAGAACGTCGACTTCCCGTCTCGCGGCTGGCTCGGCTGCCCTTCCTCTGCGGTCAAGATCATGGCCAGCATTTCTGAAAATAGCGAGTGTCTTTTTACCATTACAAGGTGAATATTCAATACCCTTACTATTACTAGTGGAGACCTTCCATAAAAAAAGAAAAATCTGCCATTTTCGTACTCATCTGCATTCGAGACAAGTCGATACAAGTCCAGTCCACCTAGTCATCAATAACGTGTTTTCTGCCTCAATGGAACAAGCGCATTTCAGACAAAGATGTCCTATGATCTCACATTATAATCATCAAAGGATTCATTATCATAAACTCAGTATAAAAATACAAATTAACCAGCGAGATGATATTTCGTTAGATGGTATCTTCTAAAGGGTTTATTCCAGGCCACAGAGATACACATCGCACAGACCATGATTCACAGATATCTTTACATTTAGAAGAACTACACAGAACACGGGTTCCATAAAGCAGAATTATAAGCTAATGTTCATTCTCCGTCGGAGGGAAATCGGATACACATTATGGAAATAAAAACTTTTTTTTTCAACATTGGGAAGGGAGAACATCAAAAAGGGCGAGCTATAAAAGAGAGAGAGATAAAAATCAAATGATTCAAAACTGATCAAGAAAAATAAGTACGAGATAGGAGGAGAGAGAGAGAGAGAGAGAGAGAGAGAGAGAGAGAGAGAGAGAGAGAGAGAGAGAGAGAAAGAAAGAGAGGGAGAGAAAAGAAGAAAGAAAAAGAGGGAGAGAATGAAAGAGAAAAAAAGAGGGAGAGAATGAAAGAGAAAAAAAGAGGGAGAGAATGAAAGAGAAAAAAGAGGGAGAGATGAAAGAGAAAAGAGGGAGAGAATGAAAGAGAAAAAGAGGGAGAGAATGAAAGAGAGAAAAAGAGGGAGAGAATGAAAGAGAGAAAAGGAGGGAGAGAATGAAGAGAAAAGAGGAAGAGAAATGAAAGAGAAAAAGAGGGAGAGAATGAAAGAGAAAAAAGAGGGAGAGAATGAAGAAAAAAAGAGGGAGAGAATGAAAGAAAAAAGAGGGAGAGAATGAAAGAAAAAAAGAAGAGAGAATGAAAGAAAAAAGAAGGGAGAGAATGAAAGAAAAAAAGAGGGAGAGGAATGAAAAGAGAAAAAAGAGGGAGAGAATGAAAGAGTAAAAGAGAGGGAGAGAATGAAAGAAAAGAAGAGGGAGAGAATGAAAAGAAAAGAGGGAGAGAATGAAGAAAAAAAAGAGGGAGAGAATGAAAGAAAAAAAGAGGGAGAGAATGAAAGAAAAAAAGAGGGAGAGAATGAAAGAGAAAAAGAGGGAGAGAATGAAAGAGAAAAAAAGAGGGAGAGAAAATGAAAGAAAAAAAGAGGGAGAGAAGAAAGAAAAAGAGGGAGAGAATGAAGAAAAAATAGAGAGAATGAAAAAAATAGGGAGAGAATGAAAAGAGAGAATGAAGAAAAAAAAGAAGAGAGAGAATGAAAGAGAAAAAAAGAGGGAGAGAATGAAAGAAAAAAAGAGGGAGAGAATGAAAGAGAAAAAAAGAGGGAGAGAATGAAAGAAAAAAAGAGGGAGAGAATGAAGAAAAAAAGAGGGAGAGAATGAAAGAAAAAAGAGAGAATGAAAGGGAGAGAATGAAAGAGAGAGAAAAAAAAGAGGGAGAGAATGAAAGAGAAAAAAAGAGGGAGAGAATGAAAGAGAAAAAAAAGAGGAAAGAGATGAAAGAGAAAAAAAAGAGGGAGAGAATGAAAGAGAAAAAAGATGAAAGAGAAATAAAAAAAAGAGAATGAAAGAGAAAAAGAGAAAAAGAGGGAGAAAATGAAAGAGAAAGAAAAAGAGAAAGAGAATGAAAGAGAAAAAGAGGGAGAAAATGAAAGAAAAAGAGAGAAAAAAGAAGAGGCACGCAGACGACAGCTACCTTGGCTCGGCTCGTCGGGAAGGCCTCCCACTTGGAACACCTTCCCGAGGGTGACCGCCTTCTCGAAGAGGGGGACCGGCGGGCGCTTCCCTCGACCCAGGTTGATGTCGGAGCTGACGCAGGCCGGCCGCTCGGCGCACTCCCCGCCGCACAGCTGTTAGAGGGAGCGTAATGGGTGAAATTTTAGTGATATTAACGTAAGCGGGTTTTTTCATTATGTATGTTATGTGTGTGATCTAGCATGTGTTTACTGTGTATTCGTATGCATGTACATTTAGATCTGGTATGTATTTATGTGTATTCGTCTACATCTAATTTTTGGATCTAGCAAGTATTCGCTGCATTCGTCTACATCTGCAGTGTATTCACTGGTACATCTAATTTTTGGATCTAGCAAGTATTCGCTGCATTCGTCTACATCTGCAGTGTATCTTTTTACATCTAGCAATAAGTATTCCTATCCTATCTTGATTCGTTAATTGTCTAACAAGATCAACACGGAAATTAGTCAGACGGAAACGGTCGTAACCGTCTTGGTCTGGGAGGCGTTCCGTTTGTAGACGATCCTTGCGGAAAGCCTCAAATTCAGACGGAACCCCAGGAATTGACGGAAAAAGTGCTAGTGTGACAGAGCCTTTAGAACATGACGCTGGCGAATGTTTACACGCGCGACCACGAGTGTTCGCAGACGCCGGAACACGAGGCTTCTTTGGAAGACCCATTCACCTTGACGTTGCAGATCACCGTCATGGTCTGCGGTTCGATCTTGGTGTTGAAGGCCATCATGGTGGCGAACTGCGTGACCTTCCTGACGGTGTGCTCGCCGAAGGTCTCGTCGTGGACCACGCCCAGCACCTCCCGGAACTCGCCCATCACTCTGGAGGCGCTGCAGCCGTCCTGTTGGCAAGTCCCGCAAAGAACGGCCCATTAACTTGGTATCAGAACTGTTTTGTCTATAATTTTTTTTCTTTTCTTTCTTCTTTAGATATTTATTAATCTACGTTGATTAGATTTTCAAAATGCACAGAGATATGCGCTGCACTATGTACTGAACTTCTAGAACATCTGTCTTCTTTCGAAAATATTACTTTAAGTGCTCTCAGTTGCAGCTAAACAAGCGTTATCTAGTCCATGAAACCCCACTATGACATCCAAAGACAATTCTGAAAATGATCACAACTCAAGGCTACATTATACTACCTTTCTCGCAGCAATTCTAACCTGGAGCAAAGACCTTAAAATAAAATCGTAAATAGGATGAAACTTATAAAATCACCATAACCTTGCCAGCCACGCAAACAACAGGATTCGCATGACCGTAAAAATCCCAAGGCTGCATTAAGGGACAAGTTAAACAAGAAAGAAATTTCAAGATGAATAGGTTAAGCAAGAACGAAATTTCAAGGTGAATAGGTTAAACAAGAACGAAATTTCAAGGTGAATAGGTTAAACAAGAACGAATATGATACACAAGAATGAATTTTCAAAATGAAAGGCTAAGGATAAAAAAAAAAAAAAAAAAAAACGAAATATCAAGACGAAGGGATTAGTCAACCCAAGAACGAACATTCCGTAGACCGACATTCCGAGAACAAGAGCCGACCAACCTGCACCAGGACGACCGCGCTGCCGTCCTCGCTCCTCCCCTCGCACTGGCTCACGTGGAGGTCGAGGGTGATGTCGCGGGTGAGGACGCTGATCACCAGACTCATCCGGGCGCCCAGGGTCTGCCTCGAGGACACGGGGACGCCCTCCATGTCGTCACCTGGGACGCGGGGGGGGGGGGGAAGAAGAAGGGCGCGTTGGTGGCAGGGGAGGGAGGGGAAGTGTAGAGAGGGGGGTAGGGGCGGAAGGGTAGGGGCGGAAGGGGTAGAGAGGGGGTAGCGGGGGTAGGGTAGGGGGGAGTGTTGGGGGGGTAGGGAGGTAGGGGATGGGGTAAAGAGGGGGGTAGGGGGGAAGGGGAAGGGGAGAGGGGGGAAGGGGAAGGGAAGGGGAGAGGGGGGGAAGGGGAGGGGGAGGGGAAGGGGAAGGGGGGGAAGGGGAGGGGGGAAGGGGAGAGGGGGAAGGGGAAGGGGGGGAAGGGAAGGGGAGAGGGGGAAGGGGAAGGGGAAGGGGAGAGGGGAAAGGGGGAGGGGGGAAGGGGAAGGGGGAGAGGGGGGAAGGGGAAGGGGAGGGGGGGAAGGGGAAGGGGAGAGGGAGGAAGAAGGGAGAGGGAGAAGGGGAGGGGAGAGGGAGGAAGGGGAAGGGGAGAGGGAGGAAGGGGAGGGGGAGGGAGAAGGGGAAGGGGAGAGGGAGGAAGGGGAAGGGGAGAGGGGGAAGGGGAAGGGGAGGGGGAAGGGAAGGGGGGGGAGAGGGGGGAAGGGGAAGGGGAGAGGGGGGAGGAGCGGAAGCGGTAGAGAGGGGGATAGGGGGGAAGGGGGGGAGGGGATAAGCAAGAGATGGTGATATTCTGATAAGAAAGAAAAGCAGAACAGTACACTGAGTGTGCACGTACGTGTGCTTCACTCACTCACTCACTCACTCTCTTCTCTCTCTCTCTCACACACACACACACACACACACACACGCCACTTCGGACCAACTACTCAGCGACGAAGACGAGAGAAAATCTCACCATGGCATGATGTTTCATCGTGGTCTTGGCGGTGTTGGACACGGCATCCTCATCCTCGGTCGTTTCCCCTGCCCCTTCGCCGCCCCCTGCAGCGCCCCCCGCCTTCCCGTAGGCCTTGAGGAGCGTGGAAGGCTCGAGTTGGACCATCCTGGAGGAACCCTTCTTCAGACACGAGACGTCGACGGCGCAGGTCTTGGAGCCGCTCTGCATTTTGAGGAAATAGAAAGAGAGAGGTAAAAAATGAAAGACAATATTTGTTTAAATGTACTGATATTTTTTTTTGTTTTTCTTCTGTATAAAATCATTAGAACTACACTTACATTTTCCAAACTTAAAAATAAAATAAAAAAGACATTTGCTTAAATGTAAAAATCATTACAACTACATTTTCCAAACCTAAAAAAAAAAAAAAAAAAAGAAAAACATTTGTTTAAATATACCGATATAATTTTTTTTTCATAAAATCATTACAACTACATTTACATTTCCCAAACATAAAAAAGAAGACTACATTTGTTTAAATGTACTAATATTTTTTTTCTGTATAAAATCATTATAACTACATTTTCCAAACAAACAACATTTTGTTTAAATATACAGATACAATTTTTTCTTCATAAAAATCATTACAAATACACTTACATTTACTCCCCCCCCCCAAAAAAAAAAAAAAAAAAAAAAAAAAAAAAAAAAAAATCCCCACAACTGAACACAGCGACCCGTCGCCGAAATCCCAGTGCTGACCCTCAACGATCCCCGACCTGGGTCTGGTTCCCGGGCCAGAGAAGGCTAGTGGAACCTCACCCCCCCTCCCCACCCCCACCGACTCAAAGAATAGCGAGACCCGTGGCTGGACGAATGCTATTCCTGTCGAGGACCTTTCTGATCAGCTGTTTATATTGGTGATACTGACATTCAAAGGTTATTCTCCGTCCAAAATAGAGCTTGCTTAGCTGAGATATGCCGTATTTCCCGCCGCACCGAGCTCAGTTCCTCACCCCCCCCCCAAAAAAAAAAAAAAAAAAAAATATATGGCAAAAACACAAATAATTTTATAAGAATATCATAATAAAAAGAAAAGAAAGAAGAAAGAAAGACAGAAAGAAAGGGAGATAGAAAGAAGGAGAAAGAAAGAAAGACACTTATTCAACCTCAACCCCCCCTCCAGATATAAACGATGACTATACATTGAAATAATTTATAAGAAAATTTTAATAAAAAAGAAAAAAAAGAGAAAAAGAGAAAGATAAAGGAAACGAAAGAGAAAGAGGAAGAAACAAGGAAAGATGAAAAAGGAAAAGAAAAGGGAGAAATAGAAAAAAAAGAAATAGAGAAAGACAATAAAGAAAAAAAGAAATATGAATGGAAAAAGGGAAAGAAAGGAGAAAGAAAGAGGGAAAGAGAAAGGAGAAACAAAGAAAGCGAAAGAATGAAAAAAGAATGAAAGAAAAATAAAAAAATAAATAAAGAGAAAGAAATAAAGAGAAAGGAGAAAGAATGAAAGAAAGAAAGAAAAAAAGAAAGAGGGGGAAAGAAAAAAAAGAGGAAAAGAAATAAAGGGAGAAAATAGGGAAAGAAAAAGAGAAAGAAGGGAAGAAAAACGAAAAAAACAGACAGAATATGAAGATCGATAAAAAGACTGAACCAATAATTAAAAGTCCACTGCCTGACTCCCCCCCCTCCCCCCACACCCAGTCACAAACAACCGTACGAGCAAACAAGCAAACGAGGCCGTGAAAGGCATACGACCTTTGGTAAACAACACTAATGGTTTTCTTCCTCGAGTCGGTTAAATTCTATATTGTGTTTGTCATTTCCTCTCCACGGTTGTTTATCAATTTAGGAGGCTTTTTCTTCTCTCGCGCTTTTTTTTTCTCTCTCGCTTTTTTTCTTCCTTTCTCTCTCTCTCTCTCTCCCTCTCCTTCCTTTAAAACGGCAATTTTTATTTTAAACGGGTGTTTGTTTTTGCGTTTGTTGGTGGGAAGTTCATAGCGGATTTTATTTATCGTGTGGAATTGGACGTTTGTAGAATAGGACGAAGTAATTGCAATCCATTTCGTGTTGCATTTTCGATTCACTGAGCGTTGTTCTTAAGTTGCATCCCTATTGCATGCAGAGCCATTTAGAATTCTTGCAACATGGTACAGTTACTAGTCTTAAAAGATGATTATCCGAGAAGAAATGAACCATAATCGACCAAAAAGTGTATGACACTAGCAAGCTGAAAATAAGATAATAGAAATGAAGCAAAAAAAAAAAAAAAAAAAAAAAAAAATGTAAAGGAAATAAAAAAAGAATGAAAAATTAGAATGAATAAAATGTAAAGGAAAATAACAAAAATAAAAAAGAATGAAGGAATTAGAATATATCAAATGAATGCAAAAAAAAAAAAAAAAAAAAAAAAATTCTCGAGAGCAAATCAACACAGCCGCCCACTTCCACCCACCGTTAGGATGACTCGCACGCCCATGCTGTCGCACTTGTCGCACTCCGGCCGGACGTCCGATCTGTGCACGTTCTTCTCCAGCTTCCACGCCCGGCTGGAGGGGTTCTTCCGCCCCACCCACACGCCGTACACAACCTGAAGGGCGGGATGGGCGAGGTTAGGGGTCGAGATCCTTGGGTTGTGTGGGCGGGATGGGCGAGGTTAGGGGTCGAGATCCTTGGGTTGTGTGGGCGGGATGGGCGTGGTTAGGGTTCGAGATCCTTGGGTTGTGTGGGCGGGATGGGCGTGGTTAGGGATCGAGTTCCAAGGGTTGTGTAAGAGTAAAGGTGTGACCTTTCTACCGCACTGAGAAAAGGGCAGAAAAAGGTTATGTACATGAACCTATATATACTTATATATACGTTTTCAGAGTGAGAAAAAGATATCTCGCCACAGCTGAAATGGGGAAAGAGTTATGTAAGAGTTATGTAAATCGTAGTCTATACAGGATCTGAAGTGAAGGACACAGGGGGGGGGGGACTTGTAGGTCATATTTCATTGGGCTGTCAATGACCTGAAATGTGGAACGAGGGGGGGGGGGGGGGGGCTTGTAGGGCTGATATCATTGGGCTGACGATGACCTGAAATGTGGAAGGGGGGAGGGGGGGTTTGTAGGTCTGATATCATGGAACTGTCGATGACCTGAAATGTGGAACAGGAGGGCAGGGGGGGGTGTCAGTAGGTTAAGCCAAGGTCACACTAGTCTTCTCTAGCCTGGGATCCTTAGACAGCCTCGCCGAAGTCAGCTCACCCTAACTTCGGCGAGGCTGTCTAGGGATCCCAGGCTAGAGAAGACTAGTGTGACCACTTTACATATTCATGAAAAATTACATTTACCGGAATGGACAGAAAAAAAAGTATCTAGCCCACACACTACGCAGAGAAAAATAAGTGTGGGGGCAAGGTCTATAAAAGTACTTATATATGTACTTATATTGACCTTGTATGGGGGGAGGTTGAGATTGTAGGTCTATAAATATTGTATATAAATATTATTCCCCATCCACACACAGTAAGCGACCTGAAGAGAAATTAAAAGGCAATGAGGAATTTCGCAAGGTTGATAATAGGTTGATAAAAATAAATGGAACAGTATAGTAATCTGACGTCATCTGATCTTCATGTTAGTTTATAGAATAGTATCCGGGAGGAAGAAGAAGAAAGCGGGAGGAGAAAATAGCAACTGTGTTATGTAAGAATGAGCGGCGAGAGAATGAAAAATATAATAGTAGATCCGCAGGTATAATAGGTATAATAGTGAGGGGACAATATGTACAAGAGCAGTAGAAAGGATCAAAACCGAATTTAATAAGCAAAAGAGTAATATAAATCATCAAATCCGAAAAAGAAAAAAAAAATTATACGGCATGTCCAATCTCAGGAAACTGGCAACTCAGTCCGAACTCTCGAATTCTCCGAACCCATCAAATCGCTTTTCTATTCTAATCACCGGATTCTTTATGCTTGAGCTTACATGGGTTTGATTTTTTTTAAACTTGTATATTACTATCTCCTGACTATCGAAATTTAGTACTTTCAACACCAGTTATTTNAATGAGTGTGGAGAGAGGATGGTTAGGAGATGAGAGAGAAGAGACGAAAGAGGAGAGAAGAGAGAGAAAAGAGGAGAGAGAGAGAGAGATGGAGAGAGAAGAAGAAGAAGAGAGACAGAGACCAGAAGAGAGAGAGACGAGAACCATAACAGAGTCCGACGAGCAGGGAGAGAGAGAGAGAGAGGAAGAGAAGGAGAGAGAGGAGAGCGGAAGAAGAGCAGGATGACGAGAACCATACACACACACACACCCTCACAGAGAGAGAGAGGGAGAGAAGAGGAGAGAGAGCAGGGAAGCGAGAGAGAGAGAGAGAGAAGAGAGGAGGGAGGCGGAGGACTGAGAGGAGAGAGAGAGAAAGAGAGAGAGAGAGAGAGAGAGAGAGAAGAGAGAGGAGAGAGAGAGAGAGAGAGAGAGAAAGAGGTGAGAAAGAGGAGAGAGAGAGAGAGAGAGAGAGAGAGAGAGAGAGAGAGAGAGAGAGAGAGAGAGAGAAGAGAGAGAGAAGAGAGGAGAAGGAGAGAGAGAGAGAAGAGAAAGAGAGGAGGGAGAAAGAGAGAGAGAAGAGAGAGAGAAAGAGAGAGAGAAAGAGAGAAGAGAGAGAAGAGAGAGAGAGAAGAGAGAGAGAGAGAGGGTGAGAGAGGGACTGAGAGAGAGAGAGGAGAGAGAGAGAGAGAGGAGGAGACGAGAAGAGAGGAGAGAGAGAGAGAGGAGAGAGAGAGAGAGAGAGAGAGAGGAGAGAGAGAGAGAGAGAGCGAGAGAGAGAGAGAGAGAGAGGAGGTGAAGAGAGAGACGAAGAAGAGAGAAGAGAGAGAGAAGAGAGGAGAGAGAGAGAGAAGAGAGGAGAGAGGAGAGAGAGAGAGAGAGAGAGAGAAGAAGAGAGAAGAAGAGAGAGAGAGAGTATAACATCAAGAACAACAACAAATGACGATAGACTGAAGAAGAGTGGAAATGAGCTATTCTTCTCTCTCTCTTCTCTCTCTCTCTCTCTCTCTCTCTCTCTCTCTCTCTCTCTCTCTCTTCTCTCTCTCTCTCTCTCTCTCTCTCTCTCTCTCTCTCTCTCTCTCTCTCTTGAGGTATGCACGTCTTCATTTTGTATTTTTAGTCATATCGGTATTTAAATCAGCTGACGTCCTTCTTGCCCACAGGTTAGAGTGAGAGAAATAAATGAAAATTATAAAAGCATAGAAAAGAGAGAGAGAGAGAGAGAGAGAGAGAGACAGAGAAAAGAAAAGTAGAGAGAAGGAAGGAGAGATAGGCAGAGAGACAGAAGTGCAGAATGAGATGAATAGGCAGGGAAAAAGATATGTGAGAATAGATAAATGAAAGAAGAAGAAAAAATAAGCAAAAGATGATTAGATAGATTAGATAGAAGATGAGAGAGAAGAAGGAGAGAGCAGAGAGAGAAGAGAGAGAGAAGAGAGAAGAGAGAGAGAGAGAGAGAGAGAGAGAGAGAGAGAGAAGAGAGAGAGAGAGAGAGAGAGAGAGAGAGAAGAGAGAGAGAGAGAGAGAAAAGAAAGGAGAAAGAAAGAAAGGAAAAGGAGAGATGATAGATGAATATCAAATATCATTCGTAAATAAATGATATTCATGATATCAACCCAAGTTTCACCTTTCGAACATTAATCAATTTGATCGCTTCAGATTATGAATAATTAATGAAGATAAACCAAGTATTAAACATTGATGAAAACATCTGTGCAATGTTAATGGCCTGAATTTACAATGCAGATGTTATCAAATGTACGATCATATTTTGCACATGTTGCAGAAATTGATCAAAATCGTTAATGGTTTTAAGACACGCCATGTGTTTTCGTAATATATAGTTGCGCATACGTACACATAAACACTTCTACTTACACACATACAAAGACATACACGCAGATACACGCACACACACCACACCAACACACATATATATATACACGTATGCACACAGATATACAAACACATACACGTCACATATACAAATCTCTTCCATCCCCACTTTCCCTGCACACACACACACACACACACACACACACACACACACACACACAACACACACACACACAACAAACACAACACACACACAAACACACACCACACACACACACGCACAACACACACACACACACAACACACACACACACACACACACAAAGCACACACACACACACACAACCATAAAGCACACCATAAAATATACACAAAAAAAAAACACAAACAACACACGCAAGAAATACACACAAAACACACACATACACGCACACACATCATAGACAAACACACACGTCAATCATCACCAACGATTTACTCCCTACTTCCGAATCTTCATCCCAGCGACAGGTGACACCTCACCCCACCCCACCCCTACCCTTCCCTTACCCCACCCCCTACCCCACCAAATCCCCTCCCCTCCCTTCGCCCCTACCCCAACAAACCCCTTCCTCCGCCCCCTACCTCACCAACCCCCCTCCCCCTTCCCTACCCACACCACCCCAATCCAACCCCCCCATCCCTCCCTCCCCATACCCACCAACACCCTACCTCCCTTCCCCACCTTCCCACCAAATCCCCCCCTACCCCCTTCCCCTTCCCTCACCCTACCCCACCAACTCCCCCCTTCCCCACCCCTCCCTCACCCCACCACCCTACCCACCAACCCCACCCCCCCCTCTCCCCACCCCCCTCCTCCAACCCCTACCACCAAATCCCCCCCTCCCTGCCCCCTCCCCACCTCCTCTCCCAGCCCTGTCAAAGTCCCCGCCAGCACGAATCTGGACCCTTGAGACGCGCGTTCTTGACCGCTGACAGCCTTGGTCTCGCAT